CCTACAATATCCCATAATGTGCCTAATGTCTCAAAATCATTTTTTTAAAATACAGTGGTGCCCCGCACAGCGAGGTTAATCCGTTCCAGATTAACCTTTGCTGTGAGAAACATCGCACTACGGAATACAAAAAGGCATTGGAACGCATTAAACAGCGTTTAATGCGTTCCAATGCCATAGAATACTCACCATTGTGCGATGGTTCCCAGGGGCCGGCAGCCATTTTCGCGCCCTCCCCTCGCAAAACGAGGGCGACAAAATGGCTGCCATCAGCTGTCCGGCGGGTCCAAAATGGCCACCGGAACAGCCAAAAGGGGCCGGGGCGCAGCGTTTTCACGCCCTTGGTAAGCAAGGGGAGCACGCAAAAACGCTGCCGGAAGCCCCGAAATGAAATCACAAATGCGATCGCAAAAACGGCCTCATAGAGCGAATTCATCGCTCTACGAGGCGCCCGTTGTGCGAGGCACCACTGTATTCTATTCGGCACATGACAGGGTATTTCACACATTGCAATGACATCTAAACCAGAGTAACAGGGAGGGGTGAGTGCACCCAATAAAGCTTGAGATAATAGTCTCTTTACAGCCACCATTAAAGAGTGCTAAAACAAGACAACAGAAGTATTGTAAAGTGTATTGTAACTTGAGATATCAAAATAATTGCATGATGAAAGGGCAGTTAAGAGGATGGCAATAATGGCACAGAACAGGGGTGGGGGAGAAGGGGCTGTGTGACATGTGCATACATGAAATACACCTTCTCAGGATAATTAAGCAGTTCTGTGTGAACGGCAACAGTGATTTAAATACCAGGGACGTTTGCAACAACCTGGGGAAAACTTCAGTGTAGTCATGCCCTTATAGTGTGCATAGACAGGATACTAACTAACTTTATGGGCTAATAATTTTTGCCAGCTTATTTGCAAGATCAATGACAGGACTGAACTCTCCCTTTCATCTTACACTGAGGTCAAAGATAGTGCCTGCTGCTTTAAAAATATCTCCTTGATATTCACATTGCTTGACAGTGATCTAATGGTTATACTGACCACCATGTTCACCACTGTGACCATTACAACAAATATCTTCTGAACCTCATATTCAATTTCAAACCATAGCATCTATATCTGGGAGAATCACAGGACAAAGAAGTTTGAGAAGGTTAAGATTTCTACAAAAGACAAGCCTTAAGACTAGAATGGAAATTTTCACTTCTATGGTGGGATCCCTTGCAAGTCCTCAGGAAGCATATAATTTGTCATCTTATGGTGTGAGAACACAGGGAATTAGATAGCAACTTGGTCTGCTGGTGGAACTGCTGGGTTTGATCTATATTAGGAACTCCTTATCCATGGGATCTGTATCCAATCATCCACAATCTGAAAACATTAAAAATATTAAAAGAAAAATCATAGCAGTATATATTTGTAAAGATGAACACCTCCAAGCCACCAACAGCAGCTGCCGCCGCCTCTTCCAGAGAAGTGGCTCTCTGGCTCTCTTCCTCTATTGCCACCCCCCCCACCAGCCCATCCAGTGGCCGCTTCAGTGCCCGGCGGTGCTTCCTCCTCCTCCTCTCCGTCCTGCTTCAGCCGCTTCAGCTCTGGAGGCTGCCTGGGCTCTCCTCACAAAGTTTGCTCCCCTGTCGTGGTGGGGGTAGCTGCGACTGCTGACTGTGCCTTTTTTTGGAGGGGGGGCCTTCAGAGGAATGTTGCCGGACCTCTGTGTGTGTCTGTCTGTGTGTGTGTGTGCGCGTGCACACGCGCGCGCGTGAACACACACCTATGGGGAGCCTGCCTCATTCTGTTTAATTTCGCAGGTACCAATGGGAGTTTTTTTCCTTTGGCAAGGTGATTCTGTGAGGGTTGTTTGTATTTTATTTTATGTCGTGCCCTCCTCCCCCCAACTAGTTGGTCGTTGGCGCTCCCTCCCTTCTCCGCTTCTTCATTCTGCTGCTACTGGTGGTGATGGTGGTGAAGAAGGAGACGGAGGGGGTCGTGGCCGGGTGAGGGCTCGCGCACCCCCTCCTCCTCCTCAGAGCCCCAACCAGGCTAAGGTAACTCCCAGGCGGCTTCCTTGGGCTCTTGCTCCGCTGGGCAGAAAATCTGATGCGGCCCAGTCTCAGGCAGACCCTGCCTCCCGCGGCCCCCAGGTAAATTGAGTTTGAGACTCCTGATTTAGGGAAACAAAAGATTAGAACAGGATAAGTGCATACTTCTCTTGGTAATAGCTAATGTGCTGTTGTCTCTGTATACGTGGATGGACTTTTGTGCACATACCAAGTTCGGGAAGCAAATTAATAGGGGTTTATAGACAGAGGTTATATTCACAAAGAAAATAGAGGTTATATTTACAAAGAAAAGAACATGCTTATTGGCTGGAATGAGATTAGGGTTTTTATTCCAAATGTTCCTGGGATTATTAGTGAACAAATCCCATGGCTGTTGAGTCTCAAAACTGAACAGGGAAACCACTGCAGTTCAGCTAAAGGGCCCTATGGATGACAAAAAAGAGATACATGATGGAAGTTCAGGGCTAAACCATTAAACAAGGATGCCGCAGTCATTTCTTCAATTACCCTACAGGTCTTATTCAGCTTTCAGAAATAAATGTTCTCATTTGGACATTTTCATTTACATGGCTTCAATTTCATCCTCTCTCTTGAATGCATAAATCTCTTGCTGCTACTTTAAGATGATGTGACCTAACATAATACATTTTAGTTAATGATAATCCATAAGGGAGAATAAAGAGTTCACATCATTTAAATAGCAAGAAGCCCATTATGCAAAAAGATTGCTAAAATTATTAGTTAACCATGCCCCCTGGGACAAGGGAAACACTACTGCTTTTTGTATGCATTTTAGGTCATTTCATTAAAGGATCACCTGAAAGGAGAAACTGCATTTCACAACATATTTCTTTATGGACTACTTGAAACCAGTGAATTGAGGGAGATACAAAGTCAGGCTGAAGCTAGTAATAATGATGATAGCATAAAATAGAAAAGTGTCCTGCCTTTACTTGAACATGTTAGAGTGAATCGTTTTCTCTAATAAAAGCTGGACAGTGTAAACTGCAGCTCTCATAACTCACTTCAATGGCAAAGATTTTAAGTTAGGTCTGGAAGAAGAGCAGCTGCATCAAGTATAGCATCTGGTTGTATATCAGTGGTTTTATACTGAATCATGATACATATTCTGAAAAAATACAGCCCTTTTTATTTTCACAACTGTACATCACTACTTGCATAACGGAGTTTCAGCCACCCATACTATTCTGAAAATCAAAATATTTTAAGGTGGAAAGTTTTAAACTAAAATTTATTAAATGCTCCTCTGTTATGTATCATTCAAAGCAATATACAACATTAAATAGAAATATAATTCAAATGTCAATGCAAATATTTCACTATATTCTGCATCCTCAAAATGTATCTGATTTGTATTTTATAGCACCAATGCTGAAAGTGAAAACTGTATCTACCACAGAAGATGGAGATTTGGGTCAAAAGGGTCTGACAGCAAAAGGTGCACAGAATGACAGGGAAGTCATTACTAGGGAATCTGAGCTTTCAGGGAAATAAACATAACACTATTCCTGAGCTTCAGATGACACTAGAAAGGGGTCGCAGTTCCCCACAGATCTTTCATTTGAATCTAAGCAGAAAACCTGAAGAACATAGCCACGGGACAGGAAAATGAGATATTACAAACAGGGAAGAAGTGTATTCGCGAAGGCTTTCACGGGCGGGATCTAATGGTTGTTGTGGGTTTTTCGGGCTTCTTGGCCATGTTCTGAAAGTGGTTCTTCCTAACGTTTCGCCAGTCTCTGTGGCTGGCATCTTCAGAGGACAGCAAACTGTGCTCTGGGTAGGCTTGAGACAAATACTCCACCCACTCTCAAGCCTACCCAGAGCACAGTTTGCTGTCCTCTGAAGATGCCAGCCACAGAGACCGGCGAAACGTTAGGAAGAACCACTTTCAGAACACGGCCAAGAAGCCCGAAAAACCCACAACAACCAACAGGGAAGAAATGGATTAAAATATTACTTAAGAACTAAATATAATTGTGATCACAGGATGTATTGCAAATTAATTAAAACTTACACATTGTTGTACTGATTGTGCTGCACATTGTTGACAGTACATCACTTGGATATCAGCACAGAGCATAATGTAAGGAATAGCTTGTTTCTTTGCATCTTATGACCTGTTGCTTTGCTGAAAATGGTTTGAAAGAAAAAGCTGGCAAAGAGGACATAAGAACTATCATACAATGTTTCTGTGTGCTATGTGCCATCATGTCAGTTCCACTTTATGGCAACTTTAGATGGGTTTCCAAAGTATGTGAGATATTTCAGGACTCGTTATGACAGCAAACCATTCATCCCCTGTGAGTCTAAATGGCAAAGTGGAGATTAAAACCTAAGTCTCCCAAATCCAAATCTGAAAATCTATCCACTATATTACACTGACTCTCCTGTTTTTTCAGTATTTACTTCGTGTTATCATTAGGAAGTTAGGTCATCATTAGATTTTATAGAGCTCCCTCATCAACTAACCTCAGAATGGTCTGCCTGTCCATCACCAGTGCCACACAGGCTATACCATAATTCCTAAATTAGCTAATCTTGTATGGTAGCCTTGGGCACAAGAACATGACCAAGGCTTTATACTTGCAATTTATAAAAAATAATTGCACATTTTGCTTCTGTACCCAGATTTCTGTCTCTAAGCACATGCTCAGTTCAATCCTCAAAAATGTTTATGCTTTGCTTGCTCTCTCAAACCCATCAGGCCTCTGCAAAGAAAGATGTCTGCAGCTCCAGGGGGAAACCCTGTCTTCAATGGCACATGATGCTACTTCTAGAATAATGCAAAAACTTTCCTTGTCTACAATCACAGTGAAGGAGTATTCATTAGGAACCCATGTAAAGAAACAAATTGTACATATTAGGGTACTGAGATACTATAATTTACTGTCAGAAGTATGACATACCTTGTACAACTTGATTTCACATGAGAACAGAAATTGCTTCTGTACCACATCATGACACAATTTATACAATATAGATTCTGCGAGAAAAAATAAAACCGGAATATGATCGGCCTCAACAGGAGCATGGTCCAAGGAAATTATGAGAATTTCAAGAGCTTCTGGAGTGAAAAAATAAAATAGAAAACAAAATCAAATAAAGAGCTTGCTCCACGTTGGCTTAACACTCTTGTCACACCTGCAACAGAATGCTTGCCAAGTTATGAACAAATAAAATAAGTGTTACATCAATTTCTCCCAGATTGTTTGCCTTTCTTGATTATCGCTTTGATGATAAAGTAATTAAGGCTCGTCTCTTTCATAATTTTGTTCAGCAGTTGCCGAAATGTTTATGCTAGGCTGTGAATCAAATCTTATTACATAATAAAGCCATCCGAATTAATAAAATTAAACAGGCTTCCAAGAATGCACAATGTACGTTGCTTATTGAGGAAATTTATAACACTTGTTCTCCTGCCACTTTTTTGCTTACTGCACTAATGGTTTGGTGTTTTCATATTGCTAATTAAAGAAGGATATATAACTGAGATTTGTTGATTTCCTTTTGTTTCCACATTGTTTTTTTAAAACGATCTTCACTCTCCAGCTACCTCATCTCCAACTGACAAAATACATATAAGCTAAGTGAAGCTGAACCAGGGAACTACAAAATATGGATCTGGGAATGAGATAGAAGCTGGACATTCCTCTTAGTTGTAAGTTACTCAAAGTCTACACCCAGTGTTTTACCAGCAGTGTGGAAATTAGTTGTAAGTTATTCTTCAAAACCTTCATCCACTGAGAAGGTAGCTACCTCGATTGCCAATCATAATTTTGTCGCAATCATTCGAGCCCATATTCTGTGGATGCCAAATCCTAATGGCAGTTTTTTATTTCTCAAAACACATCTCAACATGGCTATGAACAGATCCACACAACTTGACTGGTGAATACAGAAGTGTCTTTATCAAAGGTCCTCCTAACTTAAAAGTAGACCAGTTCCCATTTCTGCATGTAAGTCTACAGAGCAGTATTTGTTCCTTTGATTTGTTTGGAGGAAAGACTAAAACAGAAATTGCAAGTATAATCATACACCTTAGGATATCATCAAGGCAGGATATATACCAAAAGAGCACTTAAGAAGGATTAAGAGTGTTCCAATACGCTATTTATTTTCTCACAATCCAAGATCAGCTAATTTAAACTGAGAATACAGACCATAATATTTTATTAGATCCAGAAGTGACTTTCTTTAAATACCACAGTCTTCAATCCAACAGACACTCCGGCATAGAAAGGAGATAAGTAATTTTCCCTTTCACCTCATTGCTCACACACTATGCTAACCTCCAGATTCTGAGGGTCTTCCAAACCCTCTTGAACAGATTTTCAGGAGACACAGGTGGAAAACAACATTGCCTTGCGTTTTGTCTTAGGTATCAGTCATGCTAAGCTATGGATAACTGATAAATTTGCTTTACATCCATCAGTTTCATTTCCTGTAACAAGGAAAACATGACCCTTTCTATAATGGCACCACTTGCCACTCACTTAAGCCAAAAGAATGACAGTTCTGATAGGTACCTATTATTACAATATTGCCTTCATTCTAAGTGCTCTATCATACATTCTGAGTATTTACAGTGTAACTGTAATTCCAGTGACATTTCTAAATAAAAGGTGTATAGGCTTCTCTGCTCATTTGACTTTATGAAATAAACTGATGCTTCTCTCTGGCTCGTTTGCATTAAAAGGAGGGGAAAGTACATTTTAGCCCCCATCCCATCCCAGTCCTCACAACTAACTTAGTATCATGCTATTTTATTCACAGAAATAATTGGGGAAACCTAAAACAAGTGGTTATATAAAGCAAATTGCTTCAGAAATTTAAATGTCATTTTAAATTACACCCAATTAATGTCTAATTTCAGAAAGAGCTTATAAAGCAGTGGTACTTGAAAAGAAAACCATCATGAGGAATTCTAAATATACATGGATTTATAAATGCAAAAAATTAACCATCAAGATGTAAGGCACTAGCAGTGTGCCAGTTTCATTGCAGAGCTCTTCATTTGGGTCCTACTCGATTCCAGCACTTCAACGAAAACCCATCAGTCAAGGCTATGCATCGGCTAACTGGAAACAGCAAGCAAAGGCACTGATTTTACAGATAAAGCAAGATGCAAAACCATCAAACTAGGTAGAAATATCCTTAGTGGGGTGAGAAAATACCATCATATCATTCCCACTCTGGCTGCTTTGCATTGGCTCCTTGAGGGCAGAAGGAACTCTACCCTCAAGGAAAGTCCCATTAATTATTGCTGTGGCCCACTCCGTTGTTATAGGCCTGACTGCTTTGATTAGCCAAGCCAGGCAAGGGTCAAAGGAGGAGGTGGTGACACAACAGCAATCAAGCGCCTTGACCACAGTATCCGGCGTCACAGGCTGAAAGCAATCGAGAGTCACTGGGCAAGACGGAGCGCTGGACATCTCAGCTCGACTCACTGTATTTAAAAAAGGAGAGAGGTCCCGGCGGATGGCCTCCACTTTAGATTTTAAAAATACTGCAAATTGGTCCAGTGAAAAACTAGGGGGAGGCCCATCACTCAGACCAATTCCGGATAGGTCACGCACTATATGGAATAATTCTGCCTGCTGATTTGAAGCTTCGCTTATCCGGTTAGCGAAGTATACACGATTAACAGCCTTTACCTTGGCCAGGTAAAGGTTAGTTGCGACCCTGACAGCTATCCAATTATAGTCCATCGGGTTCTTCCTCCACTTGCGCTCTAGCCTTCTCCTAAGCTGCTTCATCGCTCGAAGGTCCTGAGTAAACCAAGGTGCTGGCTGAGCTCTGCGCTGGAGAGGCCATTTAGGTGCGATCGTGTCTACAGCCCTGGTGGTGGCGGCGAACCAGCCATCAACCAAAGCCTCAACAGGAGCGCCAGTCAGGTCAGCTGTAATCCCTCTCATAGAATCCTAGAATTCTATAGGATCCAGTAGTCTTCGAGGGTTATAGGTCCTTGCTCCCTGCAGGGAGGGAGAGCCACAGAAAGGTTACATTTAATTAGGTGATGAACTGAACATGACAAGGGGACTGACACAAGGTCAGTCACCATCAGACCACACACTGTACTAGCTATTACAGATGTTATTACAAATGTCAAGAACAGGTGTAAATTTTTGCTACTTACTTGAGACAAGTCTGTTCATCTAACATATTTTCATATGTCTGCATCCATGAGACCCATTCTAAAAATCAAGTCAATTCATGAAACATCTTACACCAAAGTTAATGAAAGATAAGGTTTTACATTTACTATGCCAAAAATCCATCTGGGAGATGAAATAGAGTCTATATTACTGGAAATATTCATAATTTTTGCAGTGCTTGCATAGATGAAGAAAATAATATGCGATAAAGATAAAATTTGGAAGAAGCATACCTTCACTGATGTTTCCTTTGCACTGAGCTAACATAATTGCCTCAGTCCATGCTAATGGAAGATCCACATACTTTCCACAGCCTAAGGTGCTGAGACCTGATCGTCTCTGTTAGAAGATGAAGGAAGCAAATGTACAAGGGAAAGTTATGATTTGAAGATGCTTTCAAAAAGCTATTTATTTATAAAAGAATTTGTGTATATTTAAAGAAAGCGTTATGAAGAGATTGCTGGTGGAAAACAAAATACTTGGAGTTAATAAGGCAGCAGTGTTTAATTCCTCAGATTGACACTTAAGTAAGAAGACAAATGCTTAATTAAAATTATGCTGTTATTACCACATGAAGTACCTTACAACAAAAGCAATTAATTACTAGCTCCATATCACAGTAATGACTTGCTCTGTCTGAATCGAGGTGTAAAGAGGGCTCTTCAGCAACTGCTGAAGTAGAAATGAACCAAATCCACCAAATGCCAAAATATTTCACAGATATTTCCAGTTTGCTCTTTAAACCTAATTTAGTTGACACCATACTTGCTATTCTTCTGCATTAATGCCTATCTGTGCACAAGATGGCAAGTATTTGACCAACATTTAACCAATCAGGGTTGAGGGATGAAGTCTTTTTTCAGTCTTTATTCTACTCACGTATTTTGCATCTAATGAATTAACAAATTAACAACAACCTCCTTTGCATACTTTGTCAAATGTCTTATTTGTCTTCAGTTAGCTAAGTATTTAAAAACCCTGGGGCTATGTGGATTTCCTTTACTGTCCTAGTTTATTTTATGAAAATATTACATCAGCCTGGTAATTCTAACAACAAAAACAATTACTGCAATCATTTTCATTTTGATAATATCCTCATGTTAGGTATCAAATACATATAATTTTATAGATTATTGTTCTGTTGAGAAACTGCAATCATTTTCATTTTGATAATATCTTCCTCATGTTAGGTATCAAATACAAATACAAATAATTTTATAGATTATTGTTCTGTTGAGATTTCGTTAAAATAATTTTCTTTTAACATGTTTGCTCCTATTACCTAAACAAAAACTATATTCGGTGCAGGAACTTCTGTTTTTATTATTTGTTGTCAGTCCTCAATTCTCAGTATTGGCAACGGAACATATTTTATTGAAGCAATGTTTCTATTTTATTGGGGTTTGGTATTTCAACATAGCATTTCAACCAGTAGTATCTAGTTCTCGGTATCTGTCTCAGTGAATCTTTCATCTCAGTCCAAATTTTCTGTAAACAATATTAAGGTAAGGACTGCCAAATCAATAACAGCAGAATCAACAAATAGTCAGCTGGTACGTTTGGGCCTGGTGTGCTCCGGTCCATGGGGTCACGGAGAGTTGGATACGACTTAACAACTCAACAACAACAAAAGTTTCCACTTCCTTGTTCTTATTTTCTACCCTTAGTGTTAATACTAAGGTTGCTATTACCTGATGGAATAATTTTAATTAAACTGATTAATCAAATTTGAACATGAATAAAATAAGTAGCTCCAAAAGGACAAAATTATATTTCAGTTTTGGAAAATAAACAAGCCATTATTACCTTTTCCGAACAAAACAAGAATAAAATTCTGCAACAAATTCATTTAGGCGGTTGTATCACTCGGAACACACCTATCTCACCTGATTTTGAAAGATAAGCAAGGTCAGGCAAGGTTAGCCTGACTTAAATGGGAGACCAATAGGGAATATCAGGGATCTCCAGATAAGGCTAGGAGAGAATCTTGCCTGAAACACTGGAGAACCCTGCCAGTCAGGGTTCTCCAGTGTAGGTGGGGCTCGTCAGCCCTGGAAGGCAGCCCATCTAGGAGAAGGAAAACTCCGATTTTAAACCTCCACTACCTTGTGGCTATATCCACTTATGGAAAAGGCTTCAGGAGATAACCTCGAGGAAAAATCCGGAGCCAGAGTCCCGGAGGTAGTTCGTGTCGTTCTGGCAACCCTGCGACGTTGCTGGAACCAGTTGTATTGGCTCTTGCCTTTCCACTGGACCATTTCAGCGACGTGGAGAGGGGGGATTTGCTGCTTGGGTAACAGCCTATCCTCCACATTATTTTACCCAGGCTTCGTGCTCTGGAGAGGACACTCCAGCTTTGCATACAGCGTCGAAACAACACGGGAAGTAGCAGTTACTGGTTATAAGTCTATGCTCAACTGGCGTAGAGCATGATGCCAGGGGCTACTTCTGATGGTGGGAGAGGTCATTGCACCTCACCAGGTAGATACCGCCTGCCTTAAGCTGGGCAGCCCCCAGCCAGTAAGGTGCTACCTCGCCACGGTCTGTTAACTTCACGGGGTGCGTGGGGTTTAGGGTCAAACCC